CCACATACTTCCTTTGCATCCATGTCCAAGCAGCTGCACGCTATTGCATGATCTTTTCCTGGAGAGATATGAACAAACATCTACTCGTCCCAGATAAAGCACCAACAACAGGCCAAAGTACAATTCCACTAAAGTCCGATTTGGTGAACCATTGAGTTTGTTAGTGCTAGACTTACTTATAGAACATGGGTGAGGGCTTACTTACAGGAACCGCAAAGCAGCCGCACCACCAAAAACTCTCATCTCAGCATGAGATGGGGGAAGAAAAACTTCCTCATAGCTACATAAATGAGTCCCCCTTCAGCTAACCTTCCACAGTCTCATCCCAGCACTGCTGGGACCATGTAACCACATGCAACTGGGACAGAATTACATAGTGTGGGAGGGAGGTATGGGAAGGAATGGCTGGAATCTTGGGTGAGAGTCTAATGACCCCACCCCACCCCCTTCTATGAGGGAATGTTAACAGACTCAATCTTTTTTTTCTTTGTAAAAAAAAAATTTTTTTTAATGTGTATGAATGTTTTGCCTGCATGTATAGATGTTCAATACGTGCATTCCTGATTCCCATGGATGCTAGAAGAGGGCATTTGATCCCCTATAACTGGAGTTATGAATGGTTATAAGCTGTGATGTGGGTGCTGTGAACTGAGTCCAGGTCCTTTATAAGAACCGTAGTGCTCTTTAATGCTGAACCATCTCTCCAGCCCAACAGGCTCAATCTTGAGGGTCGCTTATAAGTAGTCACAGCTGCTCTGATGAAGATGGTGATGGCTGTTAATCTCAAAGAACAGTGTTCTACCACAGGCACTATGTGATGGTAGGGGAGGCACAGCAGGGCAGGCTCTGGGAAATCCTGGGCTCCAGCAACTAACTATCTCCAGCCTCTCTAACTACTCTGATTTTCCCACTTCCCATAATTTCAAACCTTCACCATTTTCCTTGTGCCTCCAATACCGCCCTGCCCAGCTTTCAGCACAAGTCTTTGCTTCCTTCTTGCCAGGGATGTCAATAAGGAGATTCCTCAGCCTCTAATACCAACAAATAAATTACCCACTGCCTACCTTCCTCCTGCTCCTATGGAGGGATCATCCACTCCCAGCATCACCCATTCCTGTGTGGAATGACTAACCGTGCCTCTCCTTCTCATGAAGAGAGAGTGAGAGGAGCGGCATGTGGGTGCATGACTTTAATCCCAGCACTCGGGAGGCAGAGACAGGTGAATCTCTGTGAGATCAAGGCCAGCCTGATGTATATAGAGAGTTCCAGGCCAGCTGGGGCTACAGGGAGACTCTGTAGTGGGAGAGGGAGAGGGAGACAGAAAGGGGTAGGGGAGAGGGAATGGAAAAAGGACAACAAGAATGGAGAACAAGGGGCTGGAATGATGGCTCAGTGGTTAAGAGCACTGGCTGCTCTTACAGAGGACCCAGATTAGAATCCCAGCACCCACATGGCAGCTAATAACTATCTATAACTATAGTTCCAAGGGATCCAACACCCTCCTCTTGCCTCTGTGGTACTCATACATACATGCGGACAAACACTCATTCTCATAAATAAAAATAAATAAATCTTAAAAAGAACAGAAAGCAAAGGAGAGAGAAAAAAGAAAGAGTACCCCACTTTCTCAAAATGGCTGTGACTGTTAATCCCCGTCTTACCTTGGTCATTCTGGGTTACTATAAGCTATCACCTCATACTGGGTGGCTTATAAATAATAGGAGTGTGTTTCTTGTGGTTTTGGTGGCTGAAAAGATACAGATCAAGGTACCAAAGGAAGTGTCTAGTGAGAGCTCATAGCTAGCACTTTCGTATCATTATTTGATAGACTGGCAAGTTTTTATTTGGTCTCTTCCATAAAGGCACTAATTGCATTCAGGAAGGTTCTGCCATCATGACCTAGTCACTTCCCCAAAGTCTTGAGCTCCTAATATTATTACATGGAGGTTGGAATTTCAGTACTTCAGTATAAGAAGGGAGCACAGTCACACAGCCCCCTCTCACCATTCTTCACCCATCTCTGTCTGGAGTGACACTGCTCTGACTCATCACAAGCCCCCACTAGGAGCTGGGGAGATAGCTCAGTCAGTAAAATGACTGTATAATGCATGTTAAAAAAAAAAAAAAAAAAAAAAAAAAAAAAGCCAGGGGTGGTAGTAACAGGCACTGTAATCTCAGGACTGCAAAGGCAGAGATACATGGATCGCTGGGGCTCACTCTCCAGGCAGCCTAGCCTACTGTATGAGTGTCAAGCTAGGCAGAGACCTTGTCTCTAAAAGCAAGGTGGACAGCACCTTGAGGAACACTACCTGGGGCTGATCTCTGACCTCCACATGCAGGTGCATACACTTGCATGTACACTGGCAAACACATATGCACCTGTACACACACACAACACACACACACACACACACACACACACACACACACACACACCCTTCCCATCAAAGGCACCAATGTCAGCATCTTCTCTGGAGTCCCACCTGCTCTTGGAGCAGGTCACCCTCATCATCATCTCTCTTGTGGTTTTGGGGATACCTATTGCTTTCCTCCTGCCCCTGTGGCCTCTTCCGTAGACTGCTGGTCCATTGGAGCTGAAGTCCTGGTCCTGCTGTGTGCCTTCTCCTGGGCTCATTTCGTTCACACTTGTGGCAAACAACACTTATATAAGTCTTTGCCCCAGGTCTACATATGCACGTGCCATTTGACATCACCCCTGAGATGTCTCAAAGGAGCCCCTCGACCCTCTTCCCTTCTCATTGTACTGTCACCCAGACGCTGCCTCCCCTCCTCTCTCCCTCAGTCTCTATGCTCATGCGCTACTGGGCCCTGCAGATCTTACTGCCTAAATTTCTCTCAAATCCCCCATCTTCATTAAGTCCATTCACCCTAATCCAAGTGAGCTCCAGTGTCATGGTCTTATAACTGGCATGGGCCATACAGTCCTTGCTAGTCCACATAGCTAGAAAATCTTTGCAAAATGTACTGATTACAACATTCCCTTCCTAATTCATCAGAGGCTCCATGTTCTTTGAGTAAATCTACAACTTCTTAACATAGGGTTGGAGAATCCAGATGGTTTAACACTCTACTCAGCTCTGCAATGGGTTCTGGGTCATCCTGCCTAATTTATGGCCTGACTCTGTCACATACTGTCAGTATGACTTTTGTCAAGTTACCTTCTGAGCTTTCTTAAATCTTGTTTCCACTGTAAAATGGAGGAACAGTGACACTATCTCACATACGGACACTGTGGCATTAGAAGCATCAAGCATGACCATAGTGCCTGATCCAAGGTAGGCATTCATTCAGTAGATACCAGCTCCATTGGCCCTTGCACCCCAGCCCCATCTTGCTTCACTCTCTCTGTGTTCTAGAAAGCACTGTCTGGGCCTTCTCATCATGCTCTCTTTCTCTCTCCACAGGGCCTTTGCAATTTTTTTTCCTCTTTAACTATTCATTGCCTGTGCAGCCTTCAGCTTAAGTGTGATTTCCCTGGAGGAGTCCTCTGGACGTCCCAGCCTCATACTGGTCACTAGCACAATTGCATGCATATTCACTTGTTTTCATTTTTTATTATTTTGTTTCTCAGGATTAGGTGTTGTATACAACATAAGTATACTTATGTGTCACGATAATATGCTCCCCTCCAAGACTGTTAGACTCTGCAAGTGCAAGTTTATTGTTGTCAACTTTATAACTCCAGCAACTATCAAAGTGCCTGACCTAAAACAAATGCTAACTGAATGTTTGCTAATGAGTAAAAGAGGACGGAAAATCTTCCAAATAATTCCTTTACTGTCAAACCACAGTGCCTGAAAATTCAATGCAATAATCTCATAGCCAAGGGAATGCTGTCTCTCAGTGAGGTAAAACGTTCTTTGGCACACAGCAAGCACAGAGGCCAGCTCTCTCACTGTCTTTGCTGCCCACAGTTGGCAGAGCAGAACCCTGGCATAATACTTAGAATGCTGGTGCATCTGAGGCAAGCCTGACCTCAAGGACCAATCAACTGTTTCAGGGAGGCCCAGAGAGGGGAAGACAGGGGTCCAACCCCAATGTCACACAGTAGGTTCATGATAAAAACAACCCAGGGTTCTTCCCTGTGCATTGCCATTCACTAGTTCCTTCATTTAGTGAGTAGTAAGCTTGGCCATGAGGCAGGGACCACACACATAAATAACTTGGCTGCGAATGGGAGAAGGTCACATAATAGAGGAGGGATGGTGGGAGTCCACAGAAGACAGAGGCCCATGCCAGTCAGAGTCGAGGTCTATTTCATGGAAGAGATGGGACCCTGAGCAATAAGCAAGGAGAAGGGCAGAGAGGCATCTTGGGGGAAAAGAGTCACACCAGCATTGGATCTAGGGTCAAGTGGTGCACTTAGAGAGCTTTGACAGATTGCTGCAAAGCTACAGGGAAAAGGAAGGAGGCAGGGAGATAGGCCTAAAGAAGTGAGAGTCCAGCAAGATGAGGGTGAGCTGGAAGGTCCCCAGTCTTTGTGAGATGATTTTCCCTCCATCATCACTAGTCTCCCACTAAGCAGCAGCTAGGAAGACTCACCCATGATCCAGATGGAGAGGAGTCAGCCAGGGGCAATCCAAAGGTTAATTTAGAGGGTGCAGCCTCAAGACATAGATAGTGGGGTCTGAGCATGGGTGGGAGTGGTATGGTAGAGGAGGGTATGGAGGCCCTGACCTCATCCCTGAGGAGTACAGTTCCACATCAGCCTCTGTCTACATGGGGGGTGGGGTGCAGGGCTGGCCAAGCAGGGACTCCAGCGTCACTAAGCTCAGCGGTGTTTCCCCCAGTCCCCCTCCTCTGGCCCCTCTGCTCTTACCCTTCACCCACCTAGCTTAGTTTCATGGGTGGGATTTATGGCAGAAGCCCTCCCATGGGCCTTGGGTAATAAATCAGAGCAGAGCAAAATCACAAACAGCCCATGTGCGTGTGTATAAAAGAAGGGTGAGGGAGCTCCTGGTTGTGTGGATTCCAGAGAGCCCTGGCTAAGCAAGATGGATGGGAGGAGGATGCCTTGCTGGGGACTCCTGCTGGCGCTCTGGGGCTCTTGTACCTTGGGACTCCCCACAGACACAACTGCTTTTGGACGGTAACTTGGGCAGAGAAGGGGTGGCAGGGTACAAGGGTTGGCATCTTTCTAATGTTCTCAGCTTTTAGATATGTCAGATCACCCAGTCCTTACAACTACTCAGTCAGGGAGGTATGGTCCTGCCCAGAGCAGTCAAATGACTTGCCCAGTGTCACACAGCCAATGACTAAGTGGCACTAGTCAGGCCTGAAAGTCATGTCCTTGGATTCCCACCCAAAGCACCATGCTAGGCATTATGGGGAACTGAAATGGATCCCTGGCCACCAAGGAGCTCACAGTGCAATGGCTAAGGAGGGCCCTGATGCAGTTAACTCTCTTGGGCAAGCAGAAAGTCTAGCCAGATATGAGTCCTCTAGATCTGTCTTGGTTAGGTTCCGCTCCACTAGCAGCAGAAATGGCTAGCTTAGCAATCACCTGAACATTCATCTCACCAAGTCTCAGTATGCCACTTTAAAACCGAGATAACAGAACCTACTTCACAGGGCTGCTTTGAGGATTTAATGTAAAGCCATGAGCATCATGCCGGGCTCAGTGTGAGAACCTACTTCCACAGCGTGCATTATCACTGATGGAAAAGAAAGGCTCACGACAGCCCCATGCAGGGAGGACAAAGCATTCATCTGGGTCAGTGCCAGGCCTGTGGGAACAGGGAAGAGGAAGGCCTCACCCAGAAACAGTGCAGAGCCCAGGGAATGAGATGGCCTGTAGAAGTCTGTAAGGTGTATTGGCAGTACGTGTTGCTCAGCCTACATAGCATTTAGGATTTCACATGACTTTTCATGTGTTTCATCCCAAGTTGTGTCCCCAAGACAGCATCCCCATTATACAGAAAAGGATGCTGAGGAAGTCTTCATGGAAGGTCCTAAAGAGAAGAATGAGGCCCTCAGCCTTTGTTTCTGAAATCTCCCTCCCTCCCTAGTTCCCAGGCTTGCAGAGAGCATCTTGCTGGGTAGGGTGGGAGGTGTTTAGAAGGTGATGCTTCCCAGCCTACCCCAGGATACAGGCATAGGAAAGCATTCTTCCTGTGCAAGAGGGCAGAGGGAGTTGGGCTTTGAAAATAGTGACAAGAATTTTGCCATCTGCACTATGTGAAGTATTCTCCAAGGCTTTTAGGGAGCCGAGCCATGGGCTCTCCTCTCAATGCCACTGCCTTATATACACACTATGGCCAAGACCCAAGCTAAGGGCAGCCCAGTTTAGCCTGCATAGTCACTAAACAAGGCACAACCATCAGGCCTGTTTTCATTAAGGAACCAGTGGGGAATCAGAAGAGGCTAGAATCACATGGCATGTCCTCAGTACCATGTGGCACCACTCTTCCTACCCCCACAGGTTGGGAGTGTCCAGAGGAAATGGATCTGGGCTCTGGAATCCTTGAGGCAAGCTTCTAGGTGTGGGGTGCTGGTCATGCTTTGAAAGTTCTATGTAGCCCTGACTGACCTGTAGCTCACCATGTAGACCAGGCTGGCCTCAAACACACAGAGATTTGCATACCTCTGCCTCTGGCTCCCAAGTGCAAGGATTAAAAGCATGCGCCACTGAGCGCAGCAGAAAGGGGTTTTCTAAAGGAAGGGCCACAACACAAAGCATGGGCTGTTGCAGAAGAGGGTGAGTAGAGGGTGTGGAATCTCAGAAGGAAAGGCTAGGGCAGTTCAGGAGGGTCAGCTTCAGAAAGAAGGGCCTCTCCATGTGTCTGGGAGAGTCCACTGCAGGTGAGGCTTAGCTGAGGTCTCTGGCCCACAGCTCAAGGTAACTTCGTCCAGACTACACAACAGCCTTCATGCTTGCCTGAGCCTGGGGATCCTGGACCCTGCTTGGACGCCCTGTTCTACTTTTCTGAGTCACTTTCACCCCTGTGAGCCTTCGTAGCCTCAACTGGAAAACAAGGGAGTTAGTTTGCATAGCTGTTGTGGTGGCTTGCATTCAGCAGCTGGTTCCCAGCCAGGAGTGGCTCAGGACACTGCCTGTTCCTACATCTCTTTAATTCTGCCAAACATGATGAGAGGGCTCTTGACACAAAGCCAAGGGCCTGCAACTTAGGCCCAAGACATGTCTTTCCCAAGGTGAGGCACACACAGCTATTCCAATCCAACTGGGTTCAGTGGGTCCACACCAACACAGGCCTGGCTCTGTGCCTGCCCCAGGGGCCTCCAAGTCCTGGCAGGCAGCTGTGGGCATCTGCTGCCATCTACAGGCCCCATATGGCACTCCCTCCCCTGTTCATCACTGAGAGGCACTCTAGGCCCTCATCTCCCCAGAGGGCATGTCATGATCGGCACCTGTCTCACTGCCTGCTGGAGATCCCCAAAGGCAATAATGACCTCACGTCTCCATCTAGCACAGTGATGATGGATGGATAGATGGATGGATGGATGGATAGATGGATGGAAAAATTGCCTTGTCTAATTAAGATGAGACAGGAGGAAGTTGGGGATTGCTTAGTACCAGAGCAGGTGACTCACAGAGGCTTGTACATTCTTCTGAAAACATCCCAGGGCACAAGAAATAATTCTTAGGTGCTTTGGAAAAGGTTAGTGGTAGATGTACCAAAAGCAGGGGAATCTAGGCTGTCAGTATCAGGGGGATTCCAGGGCTCTTCTGTTTTTCTTTCTCTACCCTGGGGCAGGATTTTGCTCAAGAAAATGCCCTCGGTCCGGGAAACCCTGAAGGAGAGGGGCATGGACATGGCCAGGCTCAGTGCCGAATGGGGCAAAGTCACCTCCCCCGTGGTCCTCACCAACTACCTGGATGTGAGTGTCTGGCTTGTCTGCTCACTCCCTTTCTCTCTGGGACCCACTCTTTCCATGTTACACTTGACTGAAAGCCAAAGAGCCCAAGTGCTCTACAGAATTCCCACTTTACAGCTGGAAAGCCTGAGGCACAAGGATAGTAAGGAGGCCAGGGCCATACCCAGAGTTAGGCTGGAACCTGAGATCAGGCCTCAAAGCCAGTCATCCCTGTTGGGTGGGAGACATATGCGGTCTCAGGGGCTTCAGCATCCTGCTCCATTTCCACTGTTTTTATGTAGCTTTCCTGCCTCAGTGAGTCTCCCATATCTCAGGATGACAGAAGACCATGCAGAGCCCCTACTCAGCCCCCCACATTGCAGCAAAATGGAAAGCCTTCAGGGAGGGTGTGTTTAGACTCTCCCTAAGAGCCAAGACAGGGACCAGGCAAGGCTCCAAAATCCAAGGCCCTCTAGCTGGGCCCTTGCTTTCCCTGTATCCGTACAGACGCAGTACTATGGCGAGATCGGCATTGGCACCCCTCCCCAGACCTTCAAAGTCATCTTCGACACGGGTTCAGCCAATCTCTGGGTGCCCTCCACCAAGTGCAGCCCTCTCTACACTGCCTGTGGTGAGAGTCAGGCCTCGTGCCTCTCCCCAAGACCTGCCTGCTCACCTAGCTCAATCTGCCATCCACCAGGGTGCTGCTTTCCCTCAACCCATGCCACCGACCATGGGAGGACAGTGGGGGTATCACTTATCTTTCTGAATTGTCCACCACGGTGAATGAGGCAGCTTTGGGAAGTGTCTAGACACCTAGAAGTCCACCTCCCAGTGTCCCTAAGATTCAGACAGGACCGAATTCTCAAACCCATTCCAAGCCCCGAGGCTCTTCCAATCATAGCCTTTGTCAACAACCTCACACTATGTACTCTGTGCCCAGAATCTCTTCTGTTCATTATCAGTTATATTAGCAGTCACTAGAAAATTCTGTATGAAACAAAAATCCCAGGAGCATGAATACATAAGAGGAAACCAAGAAACAAAATCCTTGATTGTTGTACATTTTTTCAAGCCTGAGACTCACAGGGCTGTCACTTCCCTGTCCCCGAGCTAAGTCTTCAGCCATACCAGCCATGTCCACCTCTGAGCCTCCTGCCTAGGTCAGTGACTCTTGTGCAGACCTGAGCCTGTGTCCCTTTGCTAGAGATTCACAGCCTCTACGACTCTTCGGAATCCTCCAGCTACATGGAAAATGGGACGGAATTTACCATCCACTACGGATCTGGGAAAGTCAAAGGTTTCCTCAGCCAGGACCTGGTAACGGTAAGTGGAACTATACCTTGGAGCCCACACTGAGGTATACTCTAGTCCACCTTGGAAACTGGGGAGTTGAGGGACACCTTGCCGGGGGTCCTCTAGCTGAAGCTGCAAAGGCAGGAGCTGAATGGAATATATATAGGTGAGCACTGATTGATAAGGCTTTGTGTTTAACTTGCCTGAGGTTTACCAGTTCAGACCAGGCTTGACACTGTTGAGATTAGGGTTTAGGATTTTTGTCGGGGCTTGGTTTGCTTTCATCCGGCTGGTGTTCTGGAGTCTAAGCCCTGCTGTGCCAGAGCTAGGGGAGGGAATCAGTGTGAGCTCTTCCCTCTCCCTTGCCTGTTAAATCTGGAGAAGGGGCAGAAAGAGCAGCCCTGGCTGTGCTGGGGAAATGGGGCTGGCATGGGGGAAAGGAGGGTTGGAAAGGGGAGAGCCTAGCCTGCTAGTTTGAAAGTGGGCCTTTCAGAGAGCTGCAGAGCATGTGGCATCTTTTCTACCACTGCCTAGCAGGATCTTTTTATTAGCCTGGGCCCTTACAGCACTAGTCAGCACCATCTCTATGGCCCAAAGTATAGATGTGTGTTGAGGGAGAGGGTATATGTGGGGTTGGTGGAACAGTCTTACCCCCAATCTCTGTACAGAACTTCTGGGTCCCTGGGGTAAATGATGTGAAAGCCAGAGCCAACCCAGACAGGGGTGGGCAGTGAGCTCCACTTCCTCTGGTTCTTCTTCCATAGGTGGGCGGAATTGTGGTGACACAGACATTTGGTGAGGTCACGGAGCTGCCTCTGATACCCTTCATGCTGGCCAAGTTTGATGGGGTTCTGGGCATGGGCTTCCCTGCTCAGGCCGTTGGTGGGGTCACTCCTGTCTTTGACCACATTGTCTCCCAGAAGGTGCTAAAGGAGGAAGTCTTCTCTGTCTATTACAGCAGGTGGGCCTCTGACTCCAAGGCCAAAGCAGGGAGGGGGCACACAGCTGGGCAAGTGAAAAGAGTTTAGAGTCATAGTAGCCAATTAAAATGAACAGAAATCAAACATTCAGTCCTTAAGGACACTCCACACAGACAGACAGCTTCATGCTTTCATCAGTGCCTTTGTTTATTTGCTCCCTCATTGATCCAGTCGGTACTTGTGCTATGGTAGACTCCGGGGGTGCACTAGTGAACACAGTAAACAAAGCAATCCCTACCCCCATCCACACAGAGCTTGCTGTCCGCTGGAAGAGACGAGAAATGCAGCATTCGATAAGTGTCTCACATGTGTGAGGTGCAGGGTGCTGAAAGCTGCAAGTGTTTTTCAATTTTGAGTCAGGCTTCAGTTCAGCCAGCTTTGGGGAAGCTGTGGTTAGTGCTCCAGCAAGCCAGGGATCTGCCCCCAGCTGCAAGGCTTAGAAAGATGGTCTGAGCTGGAGGCAAGGTCATTAAGGGCCAAAACAGCAGTCAGAGGTGGGAGAGTAGAGGGGAGGGGTGGAGTCTACAGCCATCTCTGAAGAAATGGAGTCCCTAAGCTGGTAACAGAAGGGAGACATTGACAATGTCCACCAGTCAGAGGCTCTGCAGTCAGGAATGGTCTTGAGAAGATGTCTTTCAAGGAATGGAAGCAAGGCAGGTCTTGACAAGTGGTTAAGAGTGGAGGTGGGCAGGGTGTGGGGTGAGATGCAGAGAAAAGCAGAGAGAGGGAGGTGGATGTTTTAAATAATAGCGGATGCTTGAGCAATGCTGGGGGATGAGCTGATAGGAAGATTGAAAATGTGAAGAGATACATGGGGCACAGGATTAGGGGCCACAGAAGGGATAAGAATCCGGCAACAGGAAACAGGCAGACCTGGTAAGCAGAGGGCCTCTTCCCTTACCTTGAGCTGGGAAGAAGGAACATCTACACAAGTAACTGACAGTTCCGCAGAACATGTGTATACCCATCTCCATGTACACATGTACATTTACACATGTGTATGTCATGAATTCTAGGAAATCTCTTTACATACACATTCAGACCCTGGAAATCAACCCAAGGCAGGCCTGGGCTAAGGTAACACTAGTGTACACGGTAGAGAGGACAGTGAGGGCAAGCAGCTTTGCCAGGCACCAAGACCCTGGTTCCAGCTCTCATTTGTCCACTCAAGGCCTGGGTGGCTTCATCTTGGTGAGTCTGTTACCTTATAGGTGAAAAGTAAGTGACTAAGGTCTACTCCACCAGAGGGGTTTCTGAGCCTTGCCTGCAAAGAAGGTCTCCTCTCCCTCCCTTGGCAGAAATCCCAAGGAAGCAAGACCCCCATGTGGCCCTGACCCTCTAGTATTCCTTGGATATATAACCCAGAATCACACCCAACGCCCACCCAGACTCCACTCAGCAGGCACAGATCCACTAGATGCCTGCTCCCCCCAGCTCTGTCCCACACATGTTGCACACTAGTGAAGAGGGCACAACTTGAGACTTACCTGTATCTATTGTATCTATTCCTTTTCCAAGGCTTCTCTGGGGATGTTTCTTTTGGGGGGGGGGTGCATGCAGCTGGATAATCCTAGAGAAACTTCTGTTGGGTTTGGAAAGAGGCCAGCAAGAAGGGGAAGCAATGTGTACTGCATGCCTTCTAATGACACCTTCTAGCCTTGCCATCTGTCCCCAAAGTCCCTCCTCTACCCCAAAGCCCTTTTCCCCACCCTGCACCTTACTCAACTCTCCCCATCCCTGGAGTCTCGGGTCTCAGAGGTTAATGTGTCTCTAACTGCTACTGATTTCTCCTTTAGGGATTCCCACCTGCTGGGGGGAGAGGTGGTGCTGGGAGGCAGTGATCCCAAGCATTACCAAGGGAACTTCCACTACGTGAGCATCAGCAAGACTGGCTCCTGGCAGATCACAATGAAGGGGTCAGGAATCCTTAACCCTTCCTTCCTCAAAATCACTGCTGTCACTGGGATTGGGTGGGGTGGGGAAAGGCACAGCCACCATCTGCTCTCTGCCTGATCTGTCTAGGATGAGGAACAAGAAGATTTGAGAGGAGGCAGGGAAGGGGACCTAGGCAGAGGAGGTGGAGAGAGCAGGGAACAGGACCTTCCCTGTTTAGCTTGGTGCATCAGCTCTCCTTCAGTGCATTGGCAGACCACTTGCACGGTCTATCACCACCCTCATTCAAGAAAGAGATGCAGCCTGGGGGTGCCTGGCAGCTTCTGCCTGCCTGCCTTCTTGTCTGTATGCCTGTATGTCTGACTGTAGCTTCTACAGGGTATCTGTGGGGTCTGACACCTTGCTGTGTGAGGAGGGCTGCATGGCAGTGGTGGACACCGGTGCATCCTACATCTCTGGTCCTACCAGCTCCCTGAGATTGGTCATGCAGGCTCTGGGTGCCAAGGAACATAGCACGGATGAAGTATGACATTCAAGGGGTTGACCAAGGAGTGGGGAGTACACCTGGCCCCATCCCCTAAACCATTCAGACAGCACTGGGTCCCCAACAAGACCATTTCAGGCCAGCTCATCCTTATATCCCATGACTCCCTGCATGTGTGGTGGGTCTCCCATGGAGGGGGAGTGGGCATTGTGTCCAAACCTCTCCAGCATAGGAGTTCTGCTCTGCTCAGCACCTTCCACACTGAAAAGAGTTCCCTTCATCCCCACCCCCCCGCCCCAGTATGTTGTGAACTGCAGCCAGGTGCCCACCCTCCCCGACATCTCCTTCCACCTGGGAGGCAGAGCCTACATACTCACCAGTATGGACTACGTGCTCCAGGTGAGGCATAGCAAGGAAGGGTAAGAGGGGCCATTGAAGGGGGACAAGTTGTAATGTACAGACCACATACTGGGCCCACGGTTTGAAAATCCGACTCCTGTCATCTGGGGAACTTTTTAACAATCCCAGTACCTAGGCAACATGCCTCACCTAGTAGGTCAGAACTTCTAGGAGTGGCACCTGGGCATCAGAGCTTTAAAACTCCCCAGGGCATTCCAGTGTGCAGCCATATTGTGACACACAGTGATGTCCCTCTTCATTTCTCAGTAGTCCTATGTTTTTATCTCTCTCCTCTTTTCATGCTCAACAGACTTATAGAAGTTCTGTAATTTTTTCAGAAGCTAAGCCAGCCTGTAAACACAGGGTGGATGCACTGCTTGCCCTAGGAGCGATGAAACTTAGGCTGGGTTAAGGTGGCTTGTGGAAGATGGGGGACAAAAGGGGCACACACTGCAGATAGCTGCTGGGGTCAGGAGGTGGGGAGGGGGCATGTGCTGGGCAGAGGAGCAAGCCTTCTGCTTCCTGCCAGGAACCCTATAGGAATGATGACCTGTGCACATTGGCCCTCCATGGCCTAGACATCCCACCTCCCACTGGGCCTGTCTGGGTCCTGGGCGCCAGCTTCATCCGCAAGTTCTACACGGAATTTGATCGGTATAACAACCGAATTGGCTTTGCCTTGGCCCGCTGAGGCCCTCTGCGCCCCCCCTCCCCCAGTGATCCTGGCTTCAGGTAGAGCCAGAGCTACAGCACTCCTAGGATCCATTTTGCTTGGGCTTGCCCCTCACATAAACACGTTGGATTTGGAGCTCCTGATGAATGCTTGCCCTGTCGCCTGCACCAGCCCTTCCCTGCTTTGAGGAGAAATGGAATAAAAACTTCATGTTCACAATCTGTTGTACTTGAGTTTCTGGGGGTTTGAAACAGGAGGAGGGGCAATTGTGTGGTCAAATATAGAGAGGAATCTTACAAAATGGGGTTGGAGAGATGGCTCAGTCATCTGCCTTGTGGGTACTGGGATTCAAACCTGGGTCTTCTGCAAGAACAGTGTTAACTGCTGAGCCATCTCTCCCGCCCCTCCCCCAAAAGGTTTTTTTAAGGTGTATACACACACACACACACACACACACACACACACACCACGCATACAAGAGAGAGAGAGAGAAAAAAACAAAACTACACATTTGTCCCCACCCACAGGTTCCTGTCTGTAGGGCTGAGACCTTCCACCTGCTGTCAACAGGGTTTAGGTGGAGCTTCTTTATTCAACAACCTTGGGTGGGGAATCTCCAAAGAGACAGCCCCACGCCCCTCTAGGCCCTCGGGGAACAAGCCTGTTGGTAGTAGGCTGTGAGTCTGAAGATGGTCCCACCTCATAGAACCCAGCTTTGATACCAAGTTCTGCACTGTTGGGCGATCCAGCCCTATATCAAGTTCCCTGCAAACCTCCCCTCATCCTGCTCTGCACCCTCTGCAGGCCTCCATTCCTGCCCGACCTCATGTGACCACTTATATAGGCCAAGTCATTACCACCTAAAAATGCAGAGCATCAGGCATCAACCAACAATCCCACTTCATGTGTAGGAAACGTGCAAACGCTCCCAGGAAGGCATTTGCCCAAGATCACTCAGCAAAGAATCAAGTATGGAAGAATCATCAACAGAGGTGAGGGACTGTCCTCAAACTCAGTCCAGCTGACTCAGGTCCTGGGGGTTTCCACCTCATTCTATGAGGGTGGTGCTGTGGTTTGGGCTAAGTGCTCTCACGTTGACACACAGGCTACTGCCCTCCACCTGGGGATCTCAGGCTGAAGACTTCTCTCTACTCACTCCCTTGGCTACCTGCTAAGACTATATTGTTTGGGGAATGAGAAAGCAGCATCTACCTGTAGCTTCACTGTAGCTGGTCATCCCTCCTTTGACCAAAGTGTGAGGCCCTGAGGGTCCCCAAAACACCTCAGTACCTTCTAGGCTTCACCCTCCTGAGGCTCTAACCTCAGGACTCGGGGGTTTTTCTGGGGCAGCATTTGTGCAGCAGGAGCCCTCTGCAGATAGCAGCACAGAGCTGAGAACAAGAGCCTGGATTCTGTCTTCTTCCCTTGCCCAGCATGGTTTTCTGTGCGTATTACAAAAGGAGAGTCAAAGGCAATGTCCTTTCGAGCTCAGACATCCTGGGATTGCATGACGTGGGCCTACTACCTGTTCTCAGTCAGACTCTCAAGATAGGAAGGAGGCTCTAAGAATGATTTAGTGAACCAAAGTCAGTCTTGCTCAAAGTCTGGCCTAGAATGTACTCATAAACTTCAATGCTAAGCAAATGTTCAGTGAGAGACCAGTCTGCACGCCTGAGACACTCACCCCACATCACCGTGTGGCTCTCCCTCCACACTGAATGTGTGTGTGGTGGTGAGTTTTGCTTGGAACTCCCTGTACAGTTAGCCTTTGAGATGCAACTCCAGCCTTTTCCAGAGGTTCAGGGAAAGCCCTAGCTGACACTTTAGGAGCAGCGAACTTCCAAATTCCAGGATGGGGTGACGACGACGAAGTGTCCTTCCCACCTGGCCCCAAGCCCTAACCCCAGGTTTTTTGGGAAAGCTGGCAAAGGGCAACGGCCTGGGATGCTCGAGCTGGGACCGGGGCGGGGCTTTGTGAGCCCACGCCCCCTACGTCAGGGGGTGGGGCTTCACCCCACCCGGAGCTCCAGGTACCTCCGGCCGCAGCAGCCTGCGATGGCTGGCCGCACTGGCCCAGGAGCTGCGGCGGGACGGGCGGGGGGCGGGCCTGCGGCCCGTGACGTCACAACCGCGGAAGACCCCGGCGTTCTCAGCCGGCTGCGGGTTGCTGGGGCGGGCGCGGGCGCTGGGAGCTAGCAGCTCGCTTCTGAGTCATGGACTTCCTTTGGCCCCTCCTCTGCCACTCCCACTCCGTCTCCCCGCCCGCCCGCAGGGGCTAGCGCGGCCGCTCCGAGGGGGTGGGGCTGCCGGGAATGGATGTGCCCCCTTCGACTCCAGTGCCGCGCTCGCCCGTTTACCTGCGGAGGCAGGCGCCTTGCCCGCAGTGCTCATGGGGCATGGAGGAGAAGGCGGCGGCCAGCGCCGATTGTCGGGAGCCGCCGGGTCCCCCGAGGGTCGCCGCCGTCCCGTGCTTCGGCGTCGCGGTGGACCAGAACAACATCCTTCCCGGAGCCCTGCGCCTCATCCGGGAGCTGCGGCCGCACTGGAAGCCGGAGGAAGTTCGGACCAAGGTAGACGAGCGGGTGCGAGGCTGGGAATGGGGCCCTGCCGGGGCTGCCGCTGGGCTGCGTGGACGCCGCCGGTCTGTGCATCCTTGCGGGTGCAGGTCCCAGGGGTGCTACGCAGGAGCGGTTTGGACCGTGGTTTGTGTTGGGCTCAGTCTTCTTGGACTTTCCGAGCACACCAGAGGTCCACCTGCTCACTGTCAACATGCTGCGCTAGCGGCCCCACCCCCCTGTCACTGTGTGCTGGGCCCCTTAGTTGCCCAGAAGTACGCACCCACTGAGACCTGAGGAGGTCTGAACTTTTAAGGAAACCAACCCCTACACTCACTGCTGCCCCTTCTCTACCTTAATGTGGGAGCCAAGCCTCCTGGCTCTGTGCGCTCCCTGCGGGCCCCTGGAACCAGCCTTGTGGAATTCCAGCTAAGCCTTCGCCGTGGCCTCCAGCTCATACTCAGCAAACACACACACACACACACACACACACACACACACACACAGTGCCTTCCCACCCTAACTGTACACATTCTCCCACTCACACCTGTGGGTGGAGCGGCCACTGTGGCCTCTAAGGCAGATTCCTCAGCATTCTCTGTAAAAAGGCTTACACCTACCCTACCCAACTGCTCACACCCCGGGCATCTTGTGGAGGAAGGTCAGAGTCAGGCCTTTTGAGTGGGGAAAGGCACAGCTCTGAGTGTGGCAGCTAGCACAGCCTAGAGAAGCATTTTCAGAAGGCTCAGTCCTGTGCAAGATAAGGCATCAAGCTGGCCTGAGGTTAATGCCAGCACTGACCTAGCAGGTCAATAGAGACTTAGTCTCTCCTCTCTGGGCTTGTTTCCTCAACTAGAATGGGTTCAGATGGCCACTGAGGTCCCTCCAACTTTGTCACATGGTGCCTGTAAAGTTCATGGCTCCTCCTTATCACCCTGCCTAGAGGAGCCTGTGCTCCCACCCCATTTGGCTTCTGTTTCTTCTGGTGTGGAATTCGAAGACTCAAGGACCTCTGGCCACCAGAGTCCTGGGATCAGTGCCAACCTCAGTACCCTCCCTCTGCTGCTGGATGGAGTAAGAGATACAGCAGAGAACCCTCTCCTGCTGTGGCAGAGGCAGCTGGTCGGGATGTCTGGGCAACTCCCAGCCCTCCTTGGCCATCTTTTCACCTGTCTTTCAGAGCCAGGATGGAGAAAGGAGGAGAGGGGCCTCTACCCCCTACCTAGTGTGGATATACCCACTTTAGCAATTCCCAAGCCCTGGAGGCAAGCCTAGGCCCACTGAGTGTGCCTGGGCTCAGCATGGCTGCCTTTTTTTGTTTTTCTTGTGCTCTAGTCCACTCCAGGGCTGGAGATAGCCCTACCATGTGTATGATTGTACTCAGCATCCAAATGAGCACATCTGTTTCGGCTAATGCTCTGGGGAGAGACCAGAGGGATCATACCCCACCCTCCAACCCATGGATGCCCTCTCCCCATGCTAGCGCTTCACAGATGGCATCACCAACAAGCTGGTGGCCTGCTACATAGAAGAGGACATGCAGGACTGTGTGCTGGTCCGGGTGTACGGGGAGCGGACGGAACTGCTGGTGGACCGGGAGAATGAGGTCAGGAACTTCCAACTGCTGAGGGCACATGGCTGTGCCCCCAAACTCTACTGCACCTTTCAGAATGGGCTGTGCTATGAGTACATGCAGGGTGTGGCCCTGGGACCTGAGCACATCCGAAAGCCTCAGCTCTTCAGGTGAGGAAGACACAGGGCACTAGGCATTGCTTTTCCTGAGGCTGGGGTTTTGATGTCCTTGGCTGGTTTCCACAATGTAGAGTGAGATGAGGGGGAACCATAAGACCTGAAATTGCATGGAAAATGTGTGTGGATATGCATCCACCCCAGGGCTGATGTGGAAAGATCCAGAAGCCCTGGGAATGAAATCAATCTGAGCTAAATCCCCAGGGCACTCAGGGTCTCTAACCCTCCCGTCTTTTACCAAGAGCTCAGAAATGAAAGTGGTTGGCCCTATCTAGGGTGAACTTGACTTTAGCAGGCTGAGTACAGGCTTGGTTCAGAGACCCAGATTTGGAGTGCTACTGAGGCCTCCATGCAGGGTCTCACAAGAACCCATTGGCCATGGGAGCTGCTCCCAGTAAATACCTGCATATGCAGGACCTAGGGACTGCACTTAACCTTCAAGCCCTGTGGATACTGCTGTAGGGCGTCAAAGAGGGAGAACCAAACAACCCCCAGTATACCCTCTCTGTTCTGACTATCACAGTATCCTCCTCCCCCCCCCCCCCAATGCCATCAGATAGTGAGGCCCAAGCAGGCTGTGCTTTGCTCCTAATACTGGGGACAGCAGTGTAGGGGTCTACCTAGGAGCCTTGCTTGGCATCTGCACTATCCAACCCAGAGGAAATGAGACTTCTTGTGGGCAATGAGGCCCACAAAGGTTAATGGGGGAGAGGGTGGGCCTATCCTTTTCTGTGCCCACTTACCTATCCTTCAGTCAGCCTGAGTAAGTACACCTGGCTTTCTCTGAATGCATGGTCTGCCCTCCAGGTACAGAGCCCCATCCACCACAGGCTTCTGAGCACTGGCTCCCAGAGTGTGTGTGTGTTGTAGCTGTATATCTGAGGGGAGCAAAGGGAGTGCCCACCTGTGCAGGAATTGATTCAAGTTCTAGCTGAGTAGCACCCAGCCTAGAGAGGTGAAGTCCTCCCAGCTCTCCCTCAGTCCTGTTGCAAATCAGCTCAAATATTGTTAGGTCCTCACCACTCCTAGTCTCTTTCCACCTCTGTGAACCTCATGCCATCACTCATCCTCTTTCTGGAAACAATTACCACTGTCAGAAAGATTGAAGGGGGATTTAGGTGCAATAATAAGTTGGCGTTTGGGGGAGAGCCAGAATTTGGAGTGGGTGTAGGAGGTAAGCCTTTCCTTGGTGACTTTCCCAGGATAGAGCATTTCCCATCATGGTGACAGTGACGGTGTCTGCAGGAAAGGCCTCCCCCCTTCCTGTGTCCCTTGTGCCCACCCCCAGCCTTGCCTGCCGAGACTCTACAGCATAAAAACGCTGAGTGTTGAAGTTACTTCCTTTGCTATTCACACAACAGCCCTATTGATATTCAAGGAACAGCTCTGTTCACAATCTTCCTAGGAAAGGAAGACTAGGGCTGAGCCTCAGGTCTGTCTTTGCCTTGCCCAGACCCTGATGGGCTCCCCCCTACCCCAGAACCTCTACCCTCCAAGCACCCACTAGGCTGGCTGCTACCCTTCCTGGCCCTCTACCCCTTAAGGAGGCGGGAGCCTTCAGGGAGGAGTATGAAATCGCCCCGTTATCCTGTCCTGATAGTGTATTGCTTGCCCCCTTCCCAGGGCCTGGCAAGGGGAGGAGTATCCCTAGGACAGTTCTGTAACAAGGTTTCAAACAGCCAATGGCTTTGTTGTCTTTCCCAGTGATATTATTCAGCAACAGGAAGAAGCATGGGAAGCTCAGAGGCTTGAATGTTGGAGGTTTGGCAGGCAGTTGGGGTTGGACTGCAGAAGGGAGGACTGGCTGAGCCCAGCTGGGACTCCGGCCTCAGTGCTGACCTTGGCACTGGCCTCAGTGCTAGGTTCTTATCAAGGCCCCTCCCCCTCCAGTGGGCCAGTCCTCTACCCACCCCCACTTACTCCCAGAATCCCTCCCTGCCACCCAGTCCTTCTCCCCAGGACCTTGGATAATAGCCACAGGACTTGAAAATAGAATGCTGGTTTGTGTTGTGTCCTTGGTGCCTGCCCACCAGCATCAACTCCCAGTGGCCGAAGAAGGGGCTGCCCCAGCCAGCCTGGTTCCCTCCCCACCAGGGCCAGACTGATGAAAGGCTAGCATTTCCTCTTCAGTTGGCATTATTACCCATTGATCTCTTGGTGGGAAGGGGCCTGCTGAACCTCCCCTGAGATGATGGGGCAAAGTCCAGGGGGGAGGCAGGGCACTGTCCTCATGCGTAGGTGTCTCTGTGTTCCTGGAAGCTCCTGTGAAAATGCTGGGAGGGGCAAACCATTGACCTGGGACTAACAGTCCTCTTCTTGGCTCTATCTCAGCTCTGGGATTAGAAAGGGAGGTATGGCTGAAGGTCCTAATGCTTCTGCTGAGACCCTCTTTGGGAGACCTGTCATGTCCCCACATGTGGATGGCTCTCTGGCTAGTGCAGAGAAGGATCATCCAGGTCCTTTCTGGTCAGGAGGGCAGAGCAGGAGGGCAGGGCCAACACTGACTATTTCTCCTGTTTCTACTGTAGGTTAATCGCCTTAGAAATGGCAAAGATTCACACCATCCACACCAATGGCAGCCTGCCCAAGCCCACCCTTTGGCATAAGATGCACCATTATTTCACGTTGGTCAAGGACGAGATCAACCCCAGGTACAAAGATCTGGAAGGGCTCAAGGCTGCCACTGTCTGCTGCCACCCTTATCTTTGGTTCCAGCCTACTCTCATAGGAAGTCTAGGGGTTCAGGTCCCAATGAGGACTGAGGAGTTTCTCCTGAGCCCCTTTAATCCGGAGCCACAGTCCAAGCAGAGGTGGACCTACTGAGTGCATCTTGGGAGTGCACATGAGCAGCTTTACATGCTGGTACTTATTTCTCCAGTGCTGGGATTAAAGGCCTGTGCCATTATGCCTGGCAAGCATAGCCTTTTAAAAATTATTTGAGTCTGGGAGTGGTGGCTTGTGCCTTTAATCCCAGCACTTAGGCCAGTGTGTCAGGGGAGTAGAGTAGAAAGAGGTCTGAGAGAAAGGAATCTCATTCCCTCCAGAGAGGACTCTGTCCCCCATTGTGCCTCTTGCATACACGTGACTTTATGTGAACTTTCCCACCTATTGATTGTGCTGTGAGTGCCCAGGGTCGCCCCAGCCTGCCTTCTATTTGACCATGTTCAGACCATCTGAGCCATATGTTATCTCTAAGACAAGGACTGCCTTATCCCTTAGGACTTGAATAAGACACAGAACAAGACCCTTCAATCTCCAGCAAACCCTGTTGTATGCCAGATGGAAATTCTGAGGCTCAGAATTTCCCCAAGGTCATTGCTGGTTAATGGCAGCTCAGGGACTAAAGTGCAGGCTGTCTGGTGCTCAGGTACAGTCCTGGGTACTACAGATTCCCAGTGCTGCTTTGGGGGCTGACCTTGTCAGGAAGAGAGGCCCCTGGAGAAGAGCCGGCCAACCCCTTTTGTTAGCATATTATGCCTTTGATGGTGGGGAAATCAAGATTTTACTTCTTCAAGCCTCCCTAAATTATCCCCTCCCCCTCCCCGAACTACCTCACCTGCTCAGCTAAGCAATCATTGAAACTAGATGGAGCCCCTTGGTCTCTAGGCCCTGATTTGGTCAGTCTTTCATTTCATAAACACTGAGTGCTGGGATTAAAGCAACAGAAAAGTGAAGATAATCATGACATAGACCCTGCCCTCAAGGAACTTAGGAGCCAACAGGATAAACAGAGCTGGCGTGGTGGCACACACCTGTAGTCCCAGCACTTGGGAGGCAGAGGCAGGTAGATCTCTGTGAGTTCAAGGCCAGCCTGGTCTACATAATGAGTTCCAGGACAGCTGGGGCTTATAGGGAGACCCTGCTTCAAAAGCAAAACAAAACAAAACAAAACCAGAACATGCCTCTGCTTGGCACAAAAGAAGGCAGGTATGTAATGCATAAGTGGACGGGGTGGGGCAGCAAAAGCCATGATGGCAGGGCAAAATGAGAGGGGTAACTTGAGCTCGGGAGACATCCTGGGTGGGTCTGCTCAAAGATGCTGAGTAGGTGAGTATGACTGGAGTAGACCTTTAGGAGGGCCTGGAAGACTGTGGGATTAGAGGGAGGGGGCTTGGGCGCCAGGCTAAGGAGCCAGGTTTGACGTGAACAGACAGTGGGAAGTCATGAAGCTTGTTTGGGTTTTGTCTGTTTGAGACAGGATCTCACTATATAGCTAAGATTAGTCTCAAATTCATTATGTAGCCCAGACTAACCTGTCTTAAACTCCTAATCTTCCTGCCTCAGTTTTCCAAGTGCTAAGATTACAAGTAGAAAGCATCTGAACCAGAAATATGGTTTAGGAAGGAAACTCTCAGGCACAGGAACAGATCTGGATGAGGGCTAGAGAAATTAGGTTTGAGGTATGATTTAGGAAGGAACCTCTCAGGCACAGGGACAGATTTGGATGAGGGCTATTAGGTTTGAGGTAGGGAGATAAATTGAGGTCATGATCTAGAACCAGGTCCCCCTGGGGTACCTGCTGAGTGCAGATGAGAGAAGTCCTAAAGTAGCTCCTTAGGGAGAACCAAGGCAGAAACATGCCACATGCACAACTGAGAATGGGGATCAGGTCCAATGTGTGTGGCAGGCAGCCTTCCCCTCCTTCTATGGGCCATTTGGCTCAGAGAGGCCTTCATGGAGACCAAGAGAACAGGTCAAGGGTGAACAGCCCCACAGTGAGAGTACATGGTAGGTTAGGACCCTGGGCAGGTTGAGGTGTCTGTCCAGGTGTTCCTGAGCTATGTGGTACCCAGAATGAGGCTTTTGTCCTTCCTAGTGCTTATTCCCCAGTTGGGTTGGATGGAGGAACTCAGATCCCATCAGATACACAGATACATCAGATACACAGATCCTCCGGCAACCAATCCATGAATAGTTCTGAATTTGGAAGGACTGTGCCAACTGTTTGGCTTTTTCAGTGTACACAGACCTGAGTCTGTGTACCAAAGAGGGTCCAAAGTTCAGAATGCCCAAGTAGTGTGTCCTCACCCAGCTTTTGCACTAATTGACACATGCATGGCAAGCACAGTTACAGCATGTTGGCATAGGGGTGACTAAAAGTGGCTTCATGCATCTTTGTTCAGCCCTCAAGCTCCCCAGGCATGGTCTGGCAGAAAATTGTGGACAGAAAGCACTCATAACTCAAGGTGACAGGAATTAGTTGGTCTTGCACACTGGGGAATGCTCTTGCTCCCAACATTGCAAAGTGTGTAGCTTGCCTTCCTTCGTACTGGACTTGCACGGTCTGCGGGTGAGGTGACTGATCAGACCATATGATCTCTCAGAGTCTTAACTTGTGACACTGTTTGCTGATGAAGTATGAGGGACCACACCAGGACACCCCTCTGCTGCATTGAGAAAGCCCTCCTGGGGTTCTGTTACTGGGGAAATCTCCCTAGGAGCACAGCCTCTCCTACGGAGTTCCTAGTACCCAGGCCAGGTTTGCTCTGCCTCTAACTGCTGTCTCTATGAACCTCATTCTCTCTTAGTCTGAAACCATGGCCTGACACATTCTCACCTCCCGTCTTCTCCTGTGTCCCCCTTCCTCACCTTCTTATCCATTTCATAAAGTAGCAGGGATGCTATTTGGTTGGTGACTTTTATGTTCTGCCAACTACTTTAATGGCCAGAGTTTACTCTGTTTTACAGTGTAACCCTGGGAACCAGGACAGGCCTCAGTGCCACCTTACATGTAACACAAGTGGGAGTCTGCTGGGTTAGCCTTTTGTCCAAGGTCTACAGTAAAAGGAATGATGGGGCTACAGCTCAGGGTTTGCCTGTCCATGTCATCCCTCCCTCAACCTGTCACCTTCTGCCACTGTCTAGTCTTTCTACAGATGTCCCTAAGGTGGAGATATTGGAACAGGAGCTGGCCTGGCTCAAGGAACACCTATCCCAGCTGGAGTCACCTGTGGTGTTCTGTCACAATGACCTGCTCTGCAAGAATATCATCTACGACAGTTCCAAAGGTGCAGCCCCTCAGGCCCCACCAGGGCACAGAAGGACACTAGCTAGTTAGTTTTCTGGCTTCAGGGACCTGAGGACAAGCACTAGGAGACCTGGGTTTTGATCTTTTAATTTGTGAGAAAGAAGGGGAAAAGAAAACAAGAAAGTCCCAGTTAGAAAAATGCACTGTAAGAAAGAACTCAGTCTTAATTGGGGAGATCTTTAACATTAGGACACCCAAGCCATTTCTCTGGGTGATGTTTTGTACTTCTGAGATATCATAGCTGCCACAAGCCTGGAGAGGGGGCAGGAGTGGGGGTGGGATGGGAAGAGGAGTTGGAGGAAGGAGAAAGACAGAGACGGAGACAGACTACCTCTTGGTGTTCCTGAGAATGCAGTCCCCCAGGAAGTATGGGTATCCCTCATTATCCACTGTAGATTGGTTCCAGCAGGTCCTCTGAACATACCAACATGCATGGATGCTCAAGCCTTGGTGCAAGGTGGAGCTCAGTGGGGAGAGCACTTGTCTACCATGTGTGACCCTGAATTCTGTCCCTAACACTTCAAAAATAAAATGAAAATAAATAAAATAGCATAGTATTTGCATGACATCCAGACATCCTCAGGTATGCTATAAATCATCTACGACATTGTTTGCTTACAATACCCCATTCAGTGGATACATGAGCTAAATAGTTGCTATAGTATGTTCTTTTAGGAATGACAAGGGGAAGGTCTATACATGTTTAATACAGATGAAAATTTTTAAAATATTTCCAGTCTGAAGTTGAATCTAGCAATATGGGACACACAGACACAGAGGGTAGGATGTACTTAGCTTTTACTTCTGTCTATGGACAGATGCCTTTAGATGAGGAATCTGGGAACCCAGATATGCTGGAGGATGTTAGAGCTACAGGAGGGCAGGGGGACAGATGGGAGGGGACAGCCTAGAAGGCTGTGGCAGAGATCAGTCAGAGGGTATGCTGTGGAAGTCTTTGGATCTTCACTACACCTTGTTTCCAGATCTGAGACCAGCCCTCACTGCTTCTCCTCCTTACAGGCCATGTACGGTTCATTGACTATGAATATGCTGGCTACAACTACCAGGCTTTTGACATTGGCAACCATTTCAATGAGTTTGCAGGTGAGGAGGAATACTCTGCCCTCTGTCCAAGGTCCCTCCCTTATGATGGGGGGCCAAGGCTGTGGAGATGACCACAGGTAGTTCTGAACTTGGGACTCAGTGGGGGAATCAGGGACAAAGCCTGCTTTTTTTTAGAAAGTAGCTTGTCTCACGGGGTGGAACCCATTCCCCAGAGCTGACCTCTACTAGCCTGCATAGCAGTTTAGTACAAATTAGGAAATGCATTCACTGTAAGGTCCCAGGAGCTACTTAGCCTGACATGTGAGTTAGAGAAGACCCCTTCCAAGCTGGGCCTGGTGACACAGGCCTGTAATCTTGCTTACTGGGGAGGCTGAGGCAGGAAGATTGAAAGCCTTTCTGGGCTACAATGTGTTCAAGTTCAACTTGAGCAACTTAGAGAGAACCTGTCTTATAACTAAAAAAGAGAGCTGGAGATATATGGGTTCAATCTCTGGTACCAGAAAAGAAAAAAAAAAAAAAAAGAGAGGAGGAGAAAAGAATAAAATGACTCCTTCCAATCCTGGTTTTGCTGCTTACTAGCCAGTGGGACTTGGGTTCCTGGCCCTCTGTGTCTATAAAATGGAGATGATATAGTGCCAACTTCATAACATTGAAAACACGAGAGAGAGGGAGGGAGGGAGGGAGGGAGGGAGGGAGGGGGAGGGAGAGGGAGAGAGAGAGAGAGAGAGAGAGAGAGAGAGAGAGAGAGAGAGAGAGAGAGAGAGAGAGAGAGAGAGAGAGAGAGAGAGAGAGAGAGAGAGAGAGAGAGAGAGGAGAGAACAAGCCTGGGACACACACACACAGAGTCTGGGACTGATTAGGTGGAGCTGTCCTGCAGCACTGGGGCAGGCCAAGCAAGGAAGCATTTCCTAGACCTTCTATAAAGACATGGTATCTAGATCCATCCATGGAAAGGCAACAGGGCAGGCTTTTCCACTTGTTAGAAACAGTTTGATAGGACCTAGGAGGCAACTCTTAAGTGGAGTTGGACACAATTGGAGGGTTATCTGCAGGCTAGTTTGTGTGCTGCCAGTGTGATATGGCCCAGCTCCATACAGCAAACACCAGCAGCACCTCTGAGCCAAACAGAAGGAAGGAGATGGAATCTTGGCTGGCAGAGCAGCTGAGCTGCTGGTAAGCTGAAATAGCCTGGGCCTGGCAGTGCTTTGCTGCTGGGCCATAGGCCTTTGCATAGAGACAAGTCCTTCCTTATCCACTGCACAATGGAAAGTTCAGCTGGAGCTTCTCCAAAGGGGCAGGCTGCATCCTGCTGCCAGGGTAAAGAGAAATGTAGTAGTGGGGAGGTAAAGGGCAATAAAAGTCAGGAGCTGGACCTCTGAGGCTTCAGGAGCAGGCAAGCAGGCTCTGGGCAGTAGGAGGGCACAGGGAAGATTCTTTACCACCCACCCTCTTGGGGTTTAGAGACCAGGTTTCTCTAGGAATATGAAGGTCATGTGGGGAGGATAAAAAGAGGGAGAGACCCTGGGGTAGGTAGCCCAGCTCTGTTCTCATTCTTAAATAAACAACTTCTATGTCTCTGAGGCCAGGTGCCATATCCACTGTACCCAGCGCAGGACTGGTGGAAGAGGGCAACAGCTTGAAGACACATAAGATAGGGCAGAGTATAAACCTGTGTCGGAGTCAGTCATGGGGAGTAGTGGGCAGGTGGTGTGCTTCCCCAGGATGTTCTTAATCAGCCAGCACAATGCCAGTATCATCAGCAACATCTGACATTGGTAGCTAAGTCCAGAACCTTGTCCTGAAGATGAAGGACATTAGGCCCATGAGATGAAAGGGCTGGAACAAGGTCAAGTGGTGTCAAGCCTGAGACCAGGGACTGACCTGGGCCTTCTGCACAGTACTGTTTTATATGTTGCCTTGGAATTCCCACTATTAGCAGGGCCATGCCTTATCCCAACTCTCAGCCTCTTTCCTTAGCTCTAGGCAAGGGGTGCCCAGCTGGATAGAGGAGACCCTTCCACAAGCAAGCCCACAGTTCAACAAGCTGGGAGACTCCTGAGCTCAAACCTGAGGGAGGGGGTCTTCATCAACTTCTGTCCCACCTGCTCCCTAGGTGTGAATGAAGTTGATTACTGCCAGTACCCAGCCCGAGAGACCCAGCTGCAGTGGCTGCGTTATTACCTTGAGGCACAAAAGGGGGCAGCTGCAACCCCCAGGGAGGTGGAGCGGCTCTATGCACAAGTCAACAAATTTGCTCTGGTGAGTGCTTGGACCCACCTCAGTCTCCTACCCAGAGCCTGGGGTATTTTGAGGACTATACCCCTACCTAGAGAGGGTCTGAAAACAGCCATTTCAGTTGTCCCTTTAATGTTCCTGCTACTGCTGCCACATCAATTTGAACTCTATTCTCCCAGTATTTCTAAGAAAGCCCTCAGCTTCCTAGCTTGGCACATCTCTGTTTAGATGGATAGTTCTTTCTGCTGGATAGCCTCAGCCTGCAGCAGTAAAACCCTTTTTATTTCTTTTTGACACAGGGTCTCCCTGCAGCCCCAGCTGGCCTAGAACTCACTGTGTAGACAAGGCTAGCCTCACAGATATCTCTCAGATATCCATCCCCCTGCCTCTGACTCCCAAGTGCTGGGATTAAAGGCGTGCACCACCACACCCAGCCTAGTAAAACCTTTCTTAACCACCTCCACTGATTCACAACTCCTTCAGCCTTGCCTACCAAGCTCTTGTTTCCATCACTGTACTGCGGCTTTCAATTATGAATGCCACTTCTCCAAGGAACGTGGTTCATGCCAGGTGTCCACTGGTGTGTGCCCAGGGGACTACTAACACTCTAGAAGACAAGTCAGCTGCCCCAGGATTCACAATCCGTAACAACTTCAGCAAATCTGTCTTCTGTGCTTTTCATTGCCTGTTTTCCCCATCGGCCCAAACCTTACCCTTTTCCTTCTGCAGTGCACCTTAAGGACAAGCCTCCTGGCTCAGCTAAGCAAAACATCTGCTGTCTCACTTGGGCCCCTTCTAAGCCATGGAAAGGGAATGGAGGGAGGTCCTTTGTAGCCAACTGTGTGAGCAAGACTTAGGGTGGAATGAGAGAGCCCCCAAGAGTGAGGCCTCATGCCTGGGAAGGGGATGGTGGTGCTGCTTTTTCCCCAGGGGCAGCTGAGAATGGGAATCATGACTTTCTGTCTCCTTGAGCCCAGGATGACCTGGGGATACTTCTGGCTTTGGGGAATCAATTGAATACTCGGTATTCACCCAGGCTCAGTGCATCTAAGCTGGATATCTGCACCTTGAAGACTTCAGACCATCCTCTGGATTGGACAGAGGCAGGCTGGGGAACGCTGAAGTCCTTAGAGGCCCCCTTCTGCTGACCTAGAGTCTAAAATCTGAGTAAAGTGGGCCCTGCTTGCCTTTTACTAGTGGATAGTAAGTCCCCAAGTACTGTCCAGTGGCCTGAACTCAGCTTCTCCCTGCCTGAGCCAGTATCAAGCTGTCTCCAAGGGTAGCTGCATCCCCCTGGCTCTCAGGGCCATGAGAAGTGTGGCCTCATGGGACTGACCCTCTGGTCTGTTTGCAGGCATCGCACTTCTTCTGGGCACTCTGGGCACTCATACAGAACCAGTACTCCACCATCAACTTCGACTTCCTCAGGTGAGTGTTAGAAGTTGCAGGAAGTACAGGGCAGAGGAGGGAATGCCTTGACTGCCACACGAGATACAGGCTAGGTGAAGCGGGATGCTAAGGTCAGTGCACAGCTGACCTATCCCCAGCAGGGCCACCCAGGAAGCCCCACCAAATGTAATGAAGATGCTCTTGCCCCCCGACCATACTTTCCATACCATCCTACCCTGCACCAGGGCTCACTTTGCTGGTGCCATTCAGAGCCTGGGGCAAATGCTGGTCTGAGAATCAGTGCAAAAGAGGATGGAGAATGGTGAGCTAGCTCAGCAGGTAAAGATGCTTGCTTTGCGAGCCTGATGACCTGCACTAGATCCCCAGAACCCATTTAAAGGTGGAAGGAAAGAACTGAATGTCCTATGACCGACACACACACACACACACACACACACACACACACACACGGTAGCATGCACATCCACACCCATACATCATGCACACACTCGCAATCACAATTTAAATATCAAAGAGAGAATGGAGATGCAAAATGGGTCTTGTGGGGAAACATCCTAGTGGTCTAGGACTGACTGCACTGCCCCTTGGAACTATGACTACCCACTTCTTCAGTGAGACATAGGGACCATATCCAAATGCCACCGATTATGACAGCTTGGGGGCCCCATTTAGTAAGGCTCCTTTGTCCCTGCAGGCCTGGAATCAATTCCTCCATTCTGGTCTGGGCCTCCGGCCCTTTTTCCCATCCACCCTTAGCTAAATGGAATGACTGTGCTAGCTATGTGTTCACAAGAACATCATGAGATACTGCCTCACATGTTAGGATGTTATAAAAATAAGCAAAGCCAGAAAATCACAAGTATTGGCAAGGATGTGGGAAAGTTGGAAGCCTTGTGCACTATTGGTAGGCATGCAAAGTAATATAGCCACTTTGGAAATAGTGTTCCTTCAAACACTAAAAAATTTCTGCAGCAATCCCACTGCTGAGTGTATTTCCAAAAGAACTGAAGAGCAGGGCATGACAAAAGTGTTCGTACACCTATGTTCAGAGCAGCCCAGGTAGAAATAGCCAAGTATCATCACCTAATGAGTGACACACAAAAGATCATTCTAGCTTAGAAAGGGAGCAAATCTGGTTGCATGCCACGCAGATGAACCTTGACACTATGCTAAGTGAAATAAGGCAGTCACAGAAAGACAGATGTCCCACAGCTCCATTTGTGAGAGGTGACAAGAGTCACATTCATAGGGACAGACAGAACCAGTTGGTTGCTAGGCTGGGAGAGCAGAAAGCAGAAACAGAGTTGTTTAATGGGTAGAGTTTCAGTTTTGCAAGATGAAAAAGTTTTGGAGGTCCGTTGTGTAATAACACTACAAAACTGAAAACAAAACTCCCAACATGGTTATGGGTTATTCCAGTCTGACTTAAGAAAAAGAAATGATGATAGAAAGTTTAAAAACACCAGTCCAGGTTTGGTTGATCTGCCCGGCTCTAGATAGGCTTGAGCTGGTAAGGCCTCCGTGGCAGGGTGCACTAGCCTCCCTGCTCACTCAGTTTCCTTCTCTGTCTTCGTCAGGTATGCGGTGATCCGATTTAACCAGTACTTCAAGGTGAAGCCTCAAGTGTTGGCCTTGGACATGCCAAAGTGACCAGCCTTGTGTTCCTCCCTGACCTGTCACCAGACCTGTTCCTCAGGGCTGCCTTCTGCCCTGGGGTCAGCACCCTTGGACAAGGTGGGAGAGCGGACAGGTGGGCATCCATGGAGAAGGCTCCCAGTGGATGCCACTGAAGACCTCGTTTTCCTGTTTGAAGGAGCTGGTTGGGACCCAGTTCTCTACACCCTGCTAGGCTTGGGGAGGAAGTGCCTGCAGACAGCCAGAACCTGGATTGTCACCCTATGGGAGCACACAATTGCCAGCCCAGGCCTGCTGGAGCTTGGGCTGCCTCAGGGGTCCCTGACCTTTCCTGGTGGGGGAGGGGGAGGGCTCCTTTCTACCTCTAGTGCCCCAGCTTCTACCAGATTCCAAATGCCCCAGGTGAGAGGTGCAGAGCTCCAAACCAGCAGTATACTTTGTACCTTGGAGGCAGAGCTCTAGAACTGGGCCTGACAGCTCTCCCAGCAGCTGCCTCATCTAGGGCCCCTAACTTCTCCAAGCCAGATGCCATCCAGTGACTGCCCTGCCCTGCCCCCCCCCCCCACCCAACCCCCCAGGGGTAATCTTCCCTCCCCTAGCCGCCG